TAAGTAATGTCCGGTCTAGTAATAGTCAAATATTGCAAAGCACCAACCATGTTGCGGTATTCAGTACCATCAGTCAGGAGTTCTCCATCAGCCAAAGAGAGAGTAATACGGGAAGGAAGTGGGGTACGAACAGGTTTGACTGTGTGTAGATGAAAACGACGCAAGAGATCGAAAATATATTTTTGTTGTGACAGAAAAATCCCCTTAGGATTATGAAGTGTCTAAATACCGAGAAAATAGTGGATCTCACCCAAGTCTTTCATGGCAAAAGTGTGAGACAGAGTATTAATAAATGAAGAGACTATGGATGAGGAATTCCCTGTGATAAGTATATCATCAACATACAACAGAATATATATGGAACACGAATCACGACGGTACACAAACATAGAGGAGTCAGACTTACTCTAGAGAAATCCATGACTAAGTAAAAAACCACTGAAGCGGTGAAACCAAGCTCTCGGAGCTTGTTTTAAACCGTACAGGGCTTTACGAAGCCGACAAATATGATGAGGAAAGGAGGGATGGACAAAACCTTGTGGCTGACGCATATAGGCCTCTTCAGTCAAATAGCCAAGCAAAAATGCGTTTTTAACATCTAACTGACGGACACTCTAGCCAAAAGAGGTAGCTAAGGAAAGTAGAAGACGAACAGTAGTGGGTTTAACCACTGGACTAAATGTCTCCGAAAAATCTACTCCCGCTTGCTGTTTAAAACCTTGAGCAACCAACCGAGCCTTATGACGCTCAATGGACCCGTCAGAATTATATTTAGTTTTATAAATCCACCTGCAACCTACCACATTTTTGCTAGGGTCGTAAGCAACTAAATCCCAGGTCTTATTGGCAATTAATGCATTAAACTCTTCAGCCATATCTGCCCGCCACTTTAAATTTTTATGTGCTTGTGAAAAACAAGTAGGATCCGGGGGACACTCACTAGTGGTAAGAGAAAAAATGTTTTTAGGTTTAAAAATACCGTCTTTAGCCCGAGTGCGCATAAGATGGACATTTTGGCGTGGAGGAGGAGAGGGAGATGACGGGGTGGACGAACTAGCGGACCTAGACAAATTGGACGAAGGACTGGACGTAGACGGGCTGGTCGGAGGGCTGGCCATGGACTGAGGTCTGGACGAGGTACTGCATTTATTCTCGATCCTCGTTTTAGACTTGCTAATTTGGAAGATTGTTTCAACTTCTATTATCTTGCGTTTTTTGGTGAATTTCCAATGTATGACGATAACCCCATAGATCCGAAAACGGAACGAGGTTAGTGCTTTATTTTATGTCTTATTTAATGAGTTTCGTGCACAATATAGCAATGCTCCCCCTCCCCCGTTACGAACATCTTCATCTAAAGGAAAATTGATTTTTAAATCTGCATTTGGCAATCTTATGAAAAACACTAAAACAACTCACGTCACTGAACAAAGCGCATTGAATGAGATTACTTTGTATTTAACATATGAAGTTGATTTTGAAGAAAATGATGACTTTGACGTTCTAGACTAGTGGAAGTCAAAAGAAAGAACGTTCCCGATTTTAGCACGGATGGCTAAACAAGTACCATCAATGCCGGTTTCAACAGTTGCTGTGGAACAAGAGTTTAGTTCGGGCGGCAACGTCCTAACGGCATCTAGATCGAGATTGAGTGCGGAGTCTCTTGAGACGCTTATATGCTACCACGATTGGTTGAAGGCCGCACGTAGAACTCAAGAAATGAACATCACCCCCTCCCAAGATTTTATGGATGACTCAACAACCGATGGTGGCTCTACCTATGCCGGAGATTCCGATTGATTTGTATTTTAGAATTTATTATAAAATGTATTTTGTAGCACTTGTCAAATTAATTTATACTTCATATTTCAAAATTGTAAACTTGTACTTCATATTTCAAAATTGTAAATTTGTAGTTGTACTTCAAATTAATTTGTAAACTTGTACTTCATATTTCAAATAAATATGCGTTCATTTTTTCATATGTAGCACTTCTCAAATTAATTAATTGGTTACAAACTTATAACTTACAACTTCAAATTATTTTTGTTAAATATAAAGGTTGTTTTTAAATTAAAATATGTAATATTAATATGTAAATTAATTAATTGGTTACAAACTTACAAGTTACAACTTCAATATGTAATTTGTTTAAATACTTATACACCTATTTTGTAACATTTGTAAATTATAAATCAAACCACTTTTCTAAGTAAAAATAGTTTTACTTACTTAATTCATTAAACTAATTAACTTATTTTACAAAATGTTTAATTTTCAAAAAAAAAAATTAAAAACATTTTAAATTAGCTCCCAAACGGCTATATAGCCGTTGGGGCTTAGGGTGGGGGGCAGGGGGGTCCCGGGGGTGGGGTTCAAAAAAATCTATAAATACATCTATTTTCTACCATTTTTTACACCTCTTCTCCATCTTCATCTTCTCTTATTATCCTACATTCCTACTTATACATATTACATATACCATTTTAAAGATGGAAAGTACATCTTCCCTTATGCAAAACAATTTTGATAAGTGGAAGGACCCGAAGACCGGACTGTGGTGGGCAACTTGCAAGTGGTGCAAGAAAGAGTGTTGCTTGGGGCGTTCACACGGATACGGGATGTCAATAAAACACGTGAAGTCCTGTGACAAAGGGAAAACAACAACCAACGTCGGCGGAAATCCCAATTGATATTTATTAGAAAATGTATTTCGTATTGTTAATTTTTTCTCAATTCTCAAATGTAGTTCCTATTTCAAATAAATGCACTTGAACTTTGTTTTTAATAGGAATTTGTATGATATATAATTATTATTTTTTAAAAAAAATATACTGAACCGGCCCGGCCCGGCGGGTGGCCCGACCCGTGACCCGGCCGGGTGGCCCGGCCCGAACCGGAACCGGCCATAGCCCGGGCCGTTCCCGGGCCAACCTATACCAGACTCGAGGCCCGACCGGGCCCGACCCGGCCCGGGTCCATCACTAACCGGAGGTACTGATGACGAAGGGAATAAAGCAGGGGGCACCGTTGGCGAAGAAACCCATGTAAATGGTTCAGGCATATGAAAAAGAGCATACGAGGAAGCCGGCTGAGTGAGCAGAGGTTCCCAGGCCGAGTATGGTGGCGGCATGACAAAAGTGTTGCCTAAACGTGGCTGCTCTTGCACCACCGTAGATGCGGGCGCCTTAGATAACAATTCCTGTGCAGCCGTGGTAGTGAGTGGCACGCCAGATGCTTCGATCGAGAATGACGACGCCTGAGAAGAGGGCGGCGGTCGTGCATCGATCGTGAAAGTAGAATCGGTAGAAGATGCCGCCATAGGGAAAATAGGGTTAGAACCGTACGACTGATACCATATGAGAGAATAGTATTATGGGAATAATGGCTTACCAAACTAGGTAGCCTTATGGTATATTTATAATAGAATGATAATATGGAATGTACAATAATATCCTAAAATATACTGGGCTATTATATGTGAGCAGCCTCACAATGTTCCACGAATGCAAAAAATGTTATGCTTTATATAGAATCAAATTAGTATTGAGAAGTTCAATTGTTAATGTAATGATAGTATGATACAACAAATTAAATTAACTGTCCAGCCATACATTGTACTCCATCCATGTAGCATCATTAAGGAAAATTACATTAAGGTAGATTCTATGGAACCCATTAGGTACCATACCTTTGTCTACATGGATCAATGAGAATGTAACATTTGAATTATTTAAATCCAAATTAAAAATGATATAGTCGTATGGTCCAATCAAATGAATCATAAGGTACCCCATATTTTAGAAAGGTACCGAAATTGTCACCTTAAATTAATTGTTTTTCCACGTTATTCGCTATGTTTAAAAAACCGACCCGACCCGGCCGGGTTGACCCGGAACCCGGTGACCCGGACAAAAAACCGGTTCGGTTTTTTCAAAACCCGGAAATGGTCAAAAACCGAAAAAACTCGGCTGACCCGGGAAAACCCGGTCAAGACCGGACCCAAGAAACCCGAAAAACCCGGTAAAATCCAGTTTTTGGGTGTTTTTACTAAAAAAAGTAATTTCTTTTTTATTTTTAATGCATTTTTTATACCAATAAAATTGCAATTTCAATACCTTAAAAAGAAAAACTACGTAATATATTTATATATTTATTTAATAATGAACATCATGCCAAATTATAATATAGATATACAATAAAAATAAAAATATCATTATATATTTTTATAAGATCAAAATATGCATTGAAATATTATAAGAGTGTATTAAATGCTTAATAAGTAGTATTGTTAGTTGATTATTATGAATAATAACTACGGAGTACTTTTTATTATAATTTTATATATAATTATATGTTTACTATTATCATATAGACGTATAATCATTGACCGGTTTTCCGGCGTTGACCGGGTTGACCCACCGGGTCTGGGTTGACCCGTGACCCAGTCATGTGGCCGGGTCACTCTCCGGTCCGATTTTTACAACATAGACTTATTCGAAGCAACCTTAGCTTTTATTTAAGTTTAACCATTTATTAATCTACATCACGTGCATAGTTATCTCACATCTCGGTAAACCAATTTCAGGCCATCTCATATATCAAGAGCATCATCATTACATAACACATCTACACATCGAAAGAATTTTCCTTTGTAATAAAATCCAAATCTAAAAAATTTGCTACAGTGTTCCCGCCCAAAACCCCTCCCATTATTTTGTTACTTCCTCCGTCCCTAAATAAACTTTCAACTTTCCTTTTCTGTCCGTCCCAATTAAAACTTCAACTTTCCCTTTTTGGTACAAAATTTGTGATTCACAACATTTCTTACACATTTCTCTCTCCTTTGCACAACTCTCCACCACACAATATCCATTATTTTAAACTGTGTGCCCAACTCATTTTGAAGTTTTATTAGGGATGGAGGTAGTATTATACTCCTCTTAAAAATGAGTAGATTTTAGTTAAGAAAACTTTCCAAAAATTGACAAGTGGTGGGGCTGCGCCGGCTGATGATCAAGAATGGTGGGCGAGGCAGGTGAGGGGCCAATATTTGTAGAACCGCTAATTATTGCAAAGAGAGAATTGAAAAAATAATGGAGATGACAGAGGATGTTGTGATCATTGGTGCTGGAATTTCTGGTCTTGCTACTGCTCTTGGGCTTCACAGGTAGTAGTATTTCCTTTCATAATTTCTCCTTAATTCAACTTGGTGTGTTTTTGATATTGTATTTTTTTTTTATTTTTTTTTTCAATACATCAGTATCTAGTCTAGTTATTATAGTTACAATCAATTTTCATTTGTTTGTTCTGTAAAGAAGTGATTCTCAATAATCACGTAGGTTAGGGTAAGAGAGTGATTTTTAAGGATTTATTTTCGCATTTTTAGCACCGCATACTCTTTAAAGGGGTAGTCTAATAATTTTTTTATTTGATCATTTTGAGAAAATGAGGTGAGACAAGCAATATGAAAAGTGGAGTAAAAAGGATGGATTGGTTTTTTTAAAGATTTGGATACCTAGAGATTTAGGGTTTATTAGTTAAATAGATTGGTGTAAACAGAGTTGAAAGAAAAACTGGCGTTGTCAAAATCACTACTCCCGTACTCCGTATAAGCTATGCATTTTTTCAGATGCAGAAAACTCTATTTCTTAATTTTCATTCTAAGAATAAAGGAGATTATAGGTTCCATTTAATGACTGTAAACAGTAAAACAGGCAAGCCTATGTTGTTCTTGTGGTTGAGAAGAGAAGCTTTTCAAATGGACTGAATGAGCTCAATCTTTTCAAATTACCAAAATTCTACGGGGAAGTTTTTTTTAAAAATATGTTTCATTTATAAGATAAAATAAAATTGATCAAAAAAAAGATAAAATAAATTTAAAAAAAAAGCTAAAATAGTCCAACTAATTCAACCAGAAATTTCTTTTTTTGTTTGTCCCTTCAATTTGGCCTGTAAAATGGTTAATAATTATTAATATATGTCTAAAATTATTCTTTTCTTTCTGGCAATCCTGGCATCTTTTCGATGTTTACTGTTTATAGTGTTTTATCTACTACGTAGTATGTAAAACATTTTAATTTTAATTAAGAAACATATTCCCATATTACCTGAGAAGAATTAAATGTGCAAATAACATTTTAGATCCGTATAGTAGAATCAATTATAAACATAAAGTGGTTGGCTACTTTAATAAATAAATAAAAGTTAAAATGTATCATATCAAATAAATAAAGGGGGCTAAATAGCTATATAGCATATATAAACAAGAGAAGTTCAATTAATAGCCTATCTTTTGATAATTTAAATACATAGCATATTTGACGGGATAAACTAATAAGCACGAGACTACGAGAGTATTTTGTTAAGGACATTAAATGCATATCACATTTTTAGGAGATTTTCTTCCTTTCATTTTAATCTAAGAGGCTATATGTTTTATTTATATAAATACATGACATTAATTCACTACACCTATTTAAACTTGTACATACACCCAATTATTTCACAAATAAATAAATATACGAGAATAAACACATGTCAACCTAAAGCACTAAAGAGTGAAGCATAATTTTACTATATTCATTATTACATAGTTCTGCGTAAGAAATCAAAATTTACTAACCAAACCTTAGTCTCTGATAAAAAAAATTGAAGCTAAAAAAGATATTATCAAACCAAAACTAATTTATAAATGTTCCTCTTAGATATTTCAACAACCGTGTACTAATAAGGGATGTTTGGAATAGGTTATGGTTCTACTTCTTTTAAAAAAGGTGAAGGAGAATCAGAACTTTATATGACTATATAAAATAATAATATAGAGAATCAATTTAAAATGTTTAGATAGCTTGATCTTGTAAATTCCCTTTCTTGTGAAGTACCAAAAAGACACAATTTATTGATTATGGGTATGTTTGGCACAACCGCACAACTAGCTGAAAATATACTTTTGTGAGCTTTTTAATAAATGTTACTACGTAGTTTTTAGTGACTAAAAAGATCTTAAAAGGACAAAGTTGTAATTGTTTGATAAAAAGCTGACTGTTTGATTTAGTTCTGTTTGATATAACAAGCTGTTGTTTAATGCTAAAAGCTACCGACTCTCCTCAAAAAAGATCTTTTATTTTGAGAAAAACTCTTAAAAATGGTCATGCCACATACAACTAGAACATCTTGGAGACTTTTTAAATAGTACAAAAGGTAGAAGGTAGGAGTTGATGCCTACCAAGCATGCATTATATATACAAGTAGTCTGTTCTAGACATCTAGCTTCTCACATTCCCTCTCTTATGTCATCTCCGTCAATAATGATAGGGAGGGGGTGAGGAGCTTAGTGGTGGAGTCATCAGAGGGCTTAAGAAACACAGGGTTCGCGCTTTCATTGTGGACGAATGGGTGGAGGGCACTTGACGCGCTTGGAATTGGAGATTGTCTCAGGCAACACTCCCTCCAGATCAGCGAGTAAGTAGCTCTGCCTTCTTCTGATTCTTCTTTTTGTTTGTTTGTTGTTGTTGTTGTTGTTGTTTACCCACAGTGTTGTGCATACATGATGATCCTCTTGGTTGTTGATTTAAAGAAGAAAAATATACTGCAACTGCAGGTACCAGGTTTTCTCTGCAGACTCCGGGCTTCCCACTGCTGCCGCACCACTGCATTTGCACAAGAATCAGTGAGTGAGTTTTATTGAGACATGAATCTCTGTTAGATACACTTGTTATTTTCTGCATCTGTCTTATTCATACCAACCCCATTTTCTTCTCATTCAACTAGGATGATTAAATCACCTGTTAATTAATTCATAAAATGTATGGAAAACTTTTTTTATAATTTGTAGATCATAGAGAGTTCAATATGCTCAAGAAGTGAAGTCATCCAAACTGTAAAACACTAACATGATTGCAAATGCCTTTCATTCTGATAATTAATTCATAGGACTTTTGAGAGCCGCTGCTTGAGAAGGAAATTGTTACTGGAGACATTAAACAAAGAGCTGCCTCCAGCAACCGTACGGTACTCCTCAAAGGTGGTTATGATTGAAGAATCTGGAATGTTCAAATTGGTTCATCTCGCAGATGGGTCCGTTATCAAGGCTAAGGTAAACTAGCTAGCCGTTCAATCTGTATATTATATTGGATTGGATGAACATTGAAGCTAGCACAGAAAATTTGAAACTCATTTTTTAGTGAAAGCTGCTTATGTAGTAATTATGCCATCCTAGATTAGTATCAAAATATAAATAATAGTATAAGATTGACAGACCTAATAGAAGAAAAAAACTAAAAAAATGCCATATTGTGTGTGTTGAAGGTTCTAATTGGGTGCGATGGAGTGAACTCAATGGTGGCCAAGTGGTTGGGACTCCAGAGTGCAGTTGATTCGAAGAGATCAGCAATTAGAGGATTCGTTGAGTATGCGCATGGGTATGAGCCAAAGATTTATGCTTTTTATGGAGGTGGTGTGCGCTTCGGCTTTCTTCCTTGTGATGATAATGCTTTGTATTGGTTCTGCACTTACAACCAATCTGTTGCCCACTGTAAGCAAACTCATTCTACTTGTTCCACACATCTATTTATCCGCATAACGCACTTGCGGTATCCTTTTACAGCATTGATTGATTTATTGCAGTCGATAAAAGTGAGGCGCATGATCCCATCAAACTCAAGAAGTTTGTGCTAAGCAAGGCTAAGGATGTGTCGGAGGAAGTGAGCGACATTCTTGAGAGGACTCCACTGCACTCTATTTCCAGTTCTAAGCTAAAGCTAAGACTCCCATGGAATGTGTTGCTAGGAGACATTGCCCGCGACAACGTTTGTGTAGCCGGTGATGCCCTCCATCCGATGACACCCGATCTCGGGCAGGGTGGGTGCTCTGCCCTTGAAGACAGCATTGTACTTGCCCGGTGCCTTGCAGGCGCATTATTGGGGAAAAGACCAATACAAGATGATGATGATGATGATGATAGTTTCAAAAGGATAAAAGAGAGCCTTGCGAAATACACTAAGCAGAGGAGATGGAGAAGCTTTGCACTCATCACTGCAGCTTATTTGACTGGTTTTGTTCAGGAGAGTAATAACAGAGTGATCAGCTTCTTAAGGGATAAGTTCTTGGTTCATCATACTTTGAGGATCGTGCTTTGTATGGCAGATTTTGATTGTGGGGAACTATTGTTATGATTTAGATATTAATTAATCGTGAAAGCAATAAGGACTTTTCTGTTGAAGTTTTTTATTCGGACATGTTGAACAAATCCCTTAAAGTCCGATTTCATATTTGCTCAAAAAATGAGATTTTTTTTTGCATCGCTGCATTCAACTAAACCTCCTCCAAGCACAATCACTGAGTGAAAGACTTACAACGGCCAAAGTAGATGATGATGAAGAAGAGAAACAAGCTAAGCGGCCAGTCTGGTGCGAAACTCTACCACCCGTGTTACCTTTTAATGGAACGACGTGAGCCATTAATCGCAGAGTACAGCTTGGGAGAGCTTTGTGATATTTTTATGAATAGATATTTTATGCTCAAAATAGCAAAACTCTCGGTCATCCTTATAATTTTGTATATATTGTGAAAAGGTTAGATAAGTATCACAACTTAAAGAATGATCCATAATTATCCTATTATTATATCCACATAATCTATGAGAGGGAAACCACATTGAGATTGGTTATTTAAAAGGTAAAACACTTGCACGATAGTTTTTGGTAAAAATATTCACCCCTAATGGTAACTAACTAAGAACACAACGAACAAGTGGAACAAGTATATTTCCATTTACCACACATTCACGAACAAAATGATAACTAATCTTAACATACTTGTTGTGGGCAGGGGCGGAGCCAAAGGGGGTCAGGGTGGTCAGCCGACCCCTCTGAATGTTCGAGAATGTAGAGCTCTAAAATATCTTCAATTTGATATATTATGGGTCTCGTAACCCATTACGAATAAAAAGTTATGACTTCTGAAAAAAATCAACACCATCTTAACTTAGAAATAAGCAAATCTTGATGTGTGGTATTGATTACATTCTTAAATTTAAAAACGAAACACCTTATTCACTCATTAGTTGTGTGAACATTATAATACATTGCATATATATCAATACTATAACTGAATATGCTTCATTAAACTGTCATTTATCTAAGCTACATATAAAATATTTAACTTAAGTATCGTTTAATTAAGTATCGTTTAATAACGATCTACCATTTTGATATTGTATATAATTATATTATATTTCGACCTCACACGTTTTTCTAGCTCAATCACTGGTTGCGGGCATTGATGATTACGATATATAGAGAGAAATGTAGCAGATACATTACCGCAAAAAAGCTTCACAAATGACTAAAGCAGAAGAACCAATTCAAATAAAATAGATTGTGTATGGATAGTATCTTGCAACAGGGCCGGTCCCGAGAAAATTGAGACCCTGTGCGACGGGAAAAAATTGGGCCTTCCTTTTCAAGTTCCAACACAATAAATACAAAATTTAAGTTAAAATTTAGTTTAAATTTTGGGTGAAACTATAATTGGGCATCCCACCATAAGGGTGTATAAGCGCATTCTCTTGGTATTTTGAACAAACAATCGCTCTCAAGACTTGAACCCTCTCAGTCCCAAGGTTCCCTTTCAAAACTCTCCTTCCCACTAAAATCATTTAATTAATATTTTTGATGGACTCTCACAAGCATTCTAAGTTCATATGTCAGAAGTGAAACTGAAAATTCATCCATTGTCCCTCTATTAATTTTATTCTACATAACAAGTTGATCAGGTAGTGTTCACATATTTCCTTATACTCTCACCTAGCACTTGAATTTACGAGATTTGTATCAAATTATCATTATCATAACCAGAGAGAAAATCATCAAACAGCATGCACTACATCTACAACTAATTAGTCCACATTAACATGAAATTCCTACATTCCATTAGGGGTGACAGATGCACTACCAACTTTTGCATAAATCTCAATTGAAATATTGAATCATGAAACTAACATCAACTTCATAAGTGTAAAATGGCAGTGTGTCATAAAGAACTAAAGGGATCAGACAAATACTTTGGGAGAAACCATGAAACACTATACCAATTTCTTAACCACTAAATACAATTATTATCAATTGAGTTACTTGACATCTTCAATAAATGAACAAATAATAACAAGTATTAACAACCTAATTTGTAATTAAAAAAGATAAAATTTGGAAAATCATCTGTGCCTAGGCTTAGCAAGTTACCGACTACCGAGGCGGCAAGGCAAGGGGTGAGGGACAAGGGCCGTGAGCCCATGACTCTGTGAGGCGGACAAGCAGTGACCGGAGTCCCAGGATGCACCGCCGTAGCAACGTAACTCAAGAATCGGGATGGCTGGATCCTGGAGGTTGGAACGGAGCTAGAAGGAGACTGGATACGTAGAGTCGTCGGCTCGTTGCTCGCTACGCCCTATGGCCTTCGCACTCTAGCAGATTCGCAATTCCCCATTGTCTCCTTCGCTTCATGCCTTCATTCTGCACCTTTTGTTTTGCTTTTGGGCTAACTAATAATACGGAGTACTAGTTAATACTACTAATAATTTTTTTTGGGCCCTCCAGTTTACTGGGCCCTGTGCGGTCGCACTGCCCACACTCCCTCAGGGCCGGCCCTGTAAATACACTGCGTATTAAAAATGGTGCCCCCAATGAAAGTGGTGCCCTAGGCTAGTGCCTAGGTGCCTAGCCCCCATGGCTGGCAAGCGACTGCTGCCTCAATGATGGACTCTACGGTCCTGAGGTGGAAGGCAAGGGGTATTTTGCCTCAGAAAGTTGGACATTTGGAAATGGCATCACAGTCCCAAACATCACTAGATTCTTCTTAAATGAGGTGGCCAGAGTGACATCCACCTCGGAGGCTCGGAATGTTTCTTCAATGTGCTCATCCACCTACAAGAATAAAAAAAGTAAGAAGAGGTCGGAGAAAAAAGAAAGAAAGAAAGAAGACGAAGAAAAGAATAAGAAAAATGGAAGAGGGTGCATGGGATGGAGACAAACGACGCCACAAGGAGGAAAGAGAAAGGTAAAGATAATACGGAAAATAAAAAAAATCAAAATTACCGGCAAGAAACAGTCAACATCCGGTAAATTGGTCCATGTGATTCTTTTCAAAGAGTAAATGTGTTTATGTGATGGGTTTTTTAGTATATGGGTCTAGGTGATGGATTCAGAATTGTACAAAGGTGTATTTGACCCTTTTTCCTAAACTTATACTCCGTATATTCCTTAAAACTAGGTTCTAGTCACAAAAAATTAAATAAACAAGGCAAACATAAAAAACTAAATTTAGAACAACTTAGGTTCACCATGGAATAAACAAAGGATTATTAGCTTATTTTATCCCAAACTATCATCAAATTCACAAATCTATCCTATTGACTTTTACCAAAAAAAAGACTCAAACTTTACCTGTTTCAACAATTATGCTTTTCTTTTGTGATTTTTCAAAATTACATATTTTTATCAATACCAATAAGATATAAGCAATACAAGTTTTACTAGAAATAAGTGAAAAAAATATGATTTTCTTCTTAAGTTTTACTATTTCATCCATTGAAAGTGTAATTGTGAGAAAAATTGAAGTTTGAATCTTTTTTTAATAAAAGTGAAAGTATGAGATAGATTTGTGAATTTGATGATAGTTGATGATATATTTAGCTAATAATCCATAAACAAATCATTAACAACTATTAAGTCGTGTCCTAACAAACTATCTAGACTACCAAACAAGTAAAACATCTAAGATTTAAGGATTCAAATCATTATTTTGTTGAAATATTCTCACCGACACAATTGTTTCAAACTAGGGATAGACATATCAATTCAAGTTCAAGTCTTATCAACTTCCCGTCCGGCTCAATTTGAAATAAATGAGAAGAGTGATTACTCAATAAAATCTTACTGTGTTTCGATTTGATTCATTTTAGTTCGGTTTGTAATTGTTATTTTAAGTTATGCTAAAGTTTTATTGATTTTGATATTTAAGCATCAAACCATGGTTGGAGGTGCCTTATAAGCACATAAGAATCTAATCAACAACCACATAATGTGTAGCATGTGAGGGATTCATCAATTGAGAAATCAAATGAACAACATGAACAATATCATATTGTTGGGATCCCTCCTTAATTGGAGAGGTTCTAGAAAATTCTAGAGCTTTCTAGAGAAGTATAGAATTTTCTAAAACTATCCGGAGAATCCTAGAGAAGTCTAGAACTCTCTAGAAGCTTGTGGAATAGTGTGGAATCCTCTAGAATATTCTAGAGATGTGTGGAACCTTCCAGAACCTTATGGAAGAGTATGGAAGGATATAGAAGGGAATGGAAGAGTGTAGAGACTCCTAGAGTGTGTGGAGCATTCTAGAGAATCAATCCCCACCCTTGGATACAAATCATCCCCTCCATTCATTGTGAAGGTGGAGTAGTATAAATAGGGGTAGGAGGCTTCATTCCTAACCATCCTAGGCAAGAGTGAATCCACTTCTAGAGTGAGAAAGTTAGAGATCTTCTTTGAGAGAAGAGAAATAGATTGGGAAGACATCATCCTCAAGCTTGAGTGAGCCACCATTGAGTGAGGCAATTTTGTAACATACTTGTAAATCCTACTATTCTTTTGTATAGTGGAAGAATCTCCATATTGGAGAATTTAAGTCGTGTGCTCCCATTGTTACCTTATTTCTTAAGTGCCTATCTTAACTTCACGAAGCGGGAAAGTTCGGAGTTTTTCCCAACAGTGGTATCAGAGCCAGGTTCACCTGAGATCGTCATTAGCTCATGCAGTTCAAGATGGAGGATAACATCGCTCATGATGGAGACATGTTCAAGCTCACCGCCAACAACTACTCATATTGGAAGCCAATGATGGAAGATCATTTATATTGCAAGGATTTGCATGAGCCCATCATCTACAAAGAGAAGCTTGAAGGCAAGAGTGATGCCTAGTGGGAGCTACTGAATCGGAAGGCCGTTGCTATGATTCGTAAGTACATCGACAAATCTCTCTTCGAGCATGTTTCTACTTACACAAATGCTTATGAATTATGGACAAAGCTTGAGTCCATGATTCAAAAGAAAACACCTCGTAATAAGGCGAATTTAGTTCGACGGTTGGTGAAGTTGGAGTATAAGGATGGTCATAGTATGATTGAACACTTGAACAACTTCAAGGGGCTCGTAAATCAATTAACCAAAATTGAGATGAAGATTGATAACGAGTTGCAAGCCCTTTTACTCCTTAGTTCCTTTCTGGAAAGTTGGGACACTCTTGTAGTTACACTTAGTAACTCCGCCCCGGAAGGAAAGCTCACCATTGATGCCATTAGTGATAGCCTTCTTGGTGAAGAAGCAAGGAGAATGGAACGAGATGTGTCTATCCATCTCGAGGCTAATGTTATTGAGAAACGGGGTAGGAATGAGACTTGTGGACGTAGTAAGAGCCGAGATCCGCATCAATCTCGAGGAAGGTCCATGGGCCACAGGAAAATGGAGTGTCGATCCTTCAAGAGAAATTAGAAGGCCGGTAATGTCAAGCCAGACCAAGTTAACCCAACAAAGAAGCAAGAAGAGAAGAGTACCACTGCCGTAGTCATAAAAGAAGATCTGTTATACCTCGTTGGAGAAGGTAATATCCTCAACATTGCTTGTGATGATAGTTCTTGGAT